TCAATAGTCACTAGTTCAGTATAAAGACTAGAGGCCTGTGAGTACCTTCCATGACTGATTGATGATAGATCCAGTCCTTTTGTGTGGGATCCAGTGTACGTAACTACAGTTGCTGTGGGTTTAATTTCAGTGGTTGTATCATGGCTAGAGGATGACATTTTCAATACTTAGCCTATTTTCTGACTTTTTACATATTTCGTACCCCCTCTTCTGCATTGTTCCCCGCGCCTTTGATGGGGGTGGCACAAATGTCTTGTTTTAGGGTTGATCCCTCAGCATCTTTTGCAATCATGAGTCTCTGAATTCACCACTCAGAGGGACTCCTTATAGCAGTAGTTGTGACTCAAGAGTCTGACAGCTTCAAAGAGTTGTAGTTTTTATTTCATAGGCAATATTTATTCAACACCATAATGAAAGTATTCATTCTCCCAGTTAATAAATTATCAGATTCTTACTATGTATAAAATACTACCATTATAACATAAAAGTGATGCACTGACCTTTGCTAACATTATTTACAAACTGTCTCTATTTTAGAATAGGAGGAAAAATAAGTACCCCAAACATTATTATTGAAAGTTTATATGTATAAGATATGAAGAAAGCATATGACTGATGACAAAGTTGGAAGGTTAGCTAGGAAATGTTCTAAAATATGTTCGGATTCTAACTCTGACAGTTACTTGCTATGCCAAATTCATTTTCCTCATCTATAAGGTGGGGATAAGAATATATAACCTCCTAACATTTAAAATATTGGAGGTTTAACTTTATTTTTAATTTACTATTTTTTACATTTGTGGTTTGTAGTGTGTGCATCCTGGCATGCTTTTGTAGATGGAGTTTCTGTTCTTCCTGGTCCCACAACCATTTAGCCCCAAATAAACACACAGAGACTTCTATTAATTATAAACTGTTTGGCCAATGGCTCAAGCTTCTTATTGGCTAGCTCTCTCTTAATTAGTAACTGATATTTTTTTATTAATCTAAGTATTTCCACGTGGTCTTATCTTACCCGAGAATGCCTGGTGTCCTATCTTCCCACCAGCTACATGGTGTCTCCCTAATGGTTCACTCTCTGCCTTCCTCACCCCAGAATTCTCCTGGTCTTGTCTCCCACCTATGCTTCCTGCTTGGCTACTGGCTAATCAGTGTTTTATTCATCAACCAATAAGAGAAACATATATACAGAAGGCCATCCCCCATTATGCTATAGCAGTCATGCCCAGGTCAGAGGACAACTTGCAAGAGTCACTTCTCTCCTTCTAACATAGGAATTCTGAAAAAACTCAGGTCATCAGGTTTGGCAGCAAGTGCCTTTATCCACTGAGCAACCCACACTGACCCTAAAGGTTTGAGCACAGGAGCTCAATAAATGCGGTTGTCGTTACCAATAATATATTTAACATGATAGTCATTTCTATAAATCCTTTGGTGGGATGAATTATAATTAGTGAGAAGATGTTTTAATGTAGATAATGAAAATTACATTTTCAGAATAAAGAATTCAATAATTATGCTTTAGAGAAATGGGGGTTGTAGTGAGATGTCAGTGAGACAGGAAATTTAGCAGTAAGTACAAATTAAAGATACGTACATTAAAAGATGTGATAGCATGCCAACTCTTTCTCGTATAGTCTGTAGAGATGAACTTTCAGTACCTAAGATTAGAAAGACAGTGATCACTGATTAAGGATTTAAGTTCATCCAGTCTTAGCATGTGTAAATGGTTTGCTTAGAATAAAACAGTTCAATTTGTTTTCTGTTAAAAAGCTTTCTGGCTTAGAAAACTCATTGAATCTTCCTCTTAGATAATGCAGACATCCTTTATACAACACCTAGTCATTTTTTTCACCTTGAATTTTGTATTAACATTGACTTTTCTTTCAATTTAAAAGGATTTGCAAACAATCAGAGCACTTTAATGTGGCTTTTGTTTATTTTTGCTTTTGAAATAGAATTCTTCCTATGCAGCTCAAGTTGGCTTTGAATTAGTTACCTGCCTCAGTCTGTCTGCAGTGCTGAGATTACAACTGTGCCATTTTGTTTAAAAAGAAAAACTCTATAAAATTTCTGTAATTCGAAAGAAACTCAACACACACACACACACACACACACACACACACACACACACACACCCGTTCTCATTCAGGAATGCAAACAGTGAAAGAAACAATTTTATGTAACATACAGTATGGACTTTTATGTTTCTTTTAAATATCTCAATTTCCTTTTTTGTATATGTACTATGTATAATAACTGTTAGATTTAAGTTTCTTGATAATATTTGAACACTTTTTCTTAACTACTGCTTTAAACTATGAAGAGTAGAAACATTTGAACTCGAATGGTCTACTGTCTGAAATCCAATAAATAACTGTCCTCTGAAGGAGAAAATTTCCATATTATTGAAGATCAGATTATATTTTAATAAAGTTTCTATAAACAAGGAAATAGAAAATTCTGTTTACTTATTGATTTGTAATGCAAGAAATAGTATTTTATTTAAAAATTAAATCAAAACTATAGGAAAGGGGTATTTATAGATTTTTTTATAATTTTTCTATTTGAATTAGAAACAAGATTGATTTACATGACAATCCCAGCTCCCTTCTCCCTCCCTTCCTCCCCTACCACCCCCCCAACTAAAACCCTACCTATCATATATCTTTTCTTCTATTCTTCACCTGGCTCAACCTTTCTGCTCCCTCATGACCTCTGCATCCTTCCTTTTCTTCCCTTCTCATTCATTCTCCTAGCTCCCTCCCCCCTCTTCCCATGCTCTCAATTTGCTCAGGAGATCTTGACCCTTTCCCCTTCTCCAGGGGACAATGTTTGTCTCTTTTAGGGTCCTCCTTGTTTACTAGTTTCTCTGGCAGTGTGGATTGTAGGCTGGTAATCCTTTACTCTATGTCTAAAATCCACATATGAGTAAGTACATATTATGTTTGTCTTTTTGTGATCGGGTTACCTGGCTCAGAATGGTTTCTTCTAGTTCCATCCATTTTCCTGCAAATTTGAAGATTCTATTGTTTTTTTTTTCTGCTGAGTAGTACTCCATGGAGTAAATATACTACATTTTCTCTATCCATTCTTCGGTAGAGGGGCATCTAGGCTGCTTCCAGTTTCTGGCTATTACAAATAGTGCTGCTATGAACATCGTTGAACAGATGTCCTTGTATGAGTGTGCTTCTTTTGGGTATATGCCTAGAGAGTTCAATAAATAAAAGCAGCAAATGGTTTTAACAAGCAGCTTACTGCCTTGCTATAAAGAACAGAAAAAATTCAGTGTGTTTATCTGTAATTATCAAATAATTTTCAAACGTGAAGCAAATCACCAACAGTAACTTCATATTTAGGTCTTTCTTGAACTAGGTACATTATAGAATGCTAGAATATCTGATCCTGCATATCTATTGTGTTTTTGGAGTAGCACAATGTGGCCGAAGTTATCAGCTAATTTATACCAAGAGAATTTTTTATGATCATCTTCAGGAAGAGAGGTTACCAGTTACTAGGAGAGGCAGATAATTTAATACCACACCATTTTGGAGATCTTCAGGTGGCAGGCCTCTTCAATTTCAAGAGTGAATATACCAGAGAGTGCATTTTATTTTACTGCCTCAAGAACTACCAGTTGCTTCTTTGGGAGACCAAAATTATTTCCCTGTTGTCCCTAGAACTAGCAATGTCTGATACTGTGCTAACATCATTGAGGTGCTTGCATTTGTTTTGTACTGTAAAAGTTGCTTATGAAAATAATTTTATTTTATACTTTAGAAAACGGTTATACTCATTGTTGTGGATATATGCTTTTAGTTTTAGGCTCTAACTTAAGAATTATAGTTTTGAAAATCCATTATATATTAAGGTAATAACATGCAAAACCTACACTTAATTTTGGAAAGAGTTGTAGAAAGAGGAGAAGACCTATCAATAGTTTATTTTTCAAGCAAAACTTTGAAATTGGCTTATAATAAACTCAGAACTAGAGGTGCATGTTTTCTCTGGATTTCTGTTTGATGTATTTTGTGAAGATTGATGGGTTGTTTAAAGGCATTTTTTCCTTCCTCTCTTCAGAGTGATCTTCACTTATGCTACAGGTTCCTCCTAGGTGAAGAAGTATGTGAAGGGACAATTCCAAATTGTACTTTGTATGACACTTCTGGCCACTAGCAAATGTGAGCAAGTGATTTCTGTCACTGGGCTAGTATAGTGTTTTTTAGTTTAAGCATAAATTACGAAGAACAACAAAATCCTGAAAGTGGGACTGGGAGGGCATTGGTGCAAAAAACCAGTGGTGAAGAGATAATGCTGAAAGTGTTGGAAGCACAGTAGGAGGGAGGAGTGGCTTTGCTCAAATTCCTGTATAGGAGTTTGGCTGGGTTTTCCTTGCTCCTTGGACTTGATTTCCTAGAGAAGCATTTACTTTTTTCGGTCAGTGGACAAAGTAGGAGTTGGTCAGGAGTCTGACAGGCTAATGGGAATGAGTGTCCAGGATGGAACTTGATGGTATACTTCAGGGGTGTTGGGTGCAAGGGCTGCTGCTAGGATTTTTGATTCTGCCTGATAAGGAAAAGCTGCCAAAAGGCTTTCTCAGGGTCGCCATGTCTCCATGGTGGCCACTGCTGAAGGTGCCCAGCAGGTTTCAGCGTCCAGGGCTCAAGCTCCACCGCCACAGCAGTTTTAGCGCTTAGGGCGTGTTTGTAGCGACCACAGGGCACATAGCCTGCTGTGAGAGGGCGGGGTGGCTATGTCGGTTGTGGGGCATGCGCGGCTCTGCGCGCGGCTTCTCAAAAATGGCGGCGGCAGTGTGAACTCTGGTGTCTGCTCCAGGAACTAGCATGACAGAAGTTTTGTTGCTAGGGTGGAGGAGACCCGAGGTGCGTGGTGCCCCCGGCCCCCCATGGGGAGTGGAGACTAAGTCCTGGTTTTGGAGTCCTGATGGCTGTCTGCAGGGAGGGTGGTGGGGAGCCTTAGGGGCAAGTCCTGCGCTGGGAACGCCCCCTTACTGCCGCGCCAGCGTCCCGCCTCAGTTTGTCCCGACACCCGTCTCACACCCCTGGACGCTTTACCCCAGATGCCACGGCTGCCTTGTTTCAGTTAGTGTTCTCTGTGGGCCACTTCAGCTGCTAGCACGCAGTGCTTCCCTTCACACTTGCTCGGAGCCCCTTCACTGGCTCGTCTTGCTGGAGGCATTCCGGCCCCTGGCCCAGCTCCCTCAGAGGGCCCCCCTCTCCTGCAGTGCCGACAGCGCCCTCTGCAATTCTCCCCAGGGTAGGTGGGACCAGGCTGAAGCCTGGGGGCTTTGCGGGTGGTTGGTAGGGTTGAGGGGTAGGGATGACTTCGAAAGGTTTGGGCTCAGACTAAGATTTAGGAGGTAACTTGGATTTTGGGAGGGGACGTCAGCCTGGAAAGATGCGCCTGTGGCCTGGAGCCCGCGCGGGTCTGGTGCCAGGTGTGTGCCTTGGGGCTCCTCACGGGGGAGGGGGGGTGCAGCGTTAGCCAGCAACAGTGGATGCCTCCTGGGTGAAGCTGGATGGGAATGCATGGACAGACTCCTCTTGGAATGGTTTCAGCGAGCGGATGGACTCAGTCAGGGTTTAAGTCTAGTGACCACTGTTCCTTTCATTTTAAAACAGCCTGAAAAGGTTCCTCTCTTTTATTGACTTTTTTTTATTAACCTGAATAGTACTTGTACTCCAAGAGTCCAAAAAAGAGATATGAGATATGAAATTTGGAATTTTATCCGCCCCCCCCCCCCCCGGTTTTTTTTTTTATATTGCCCCTCTCCCATCCAGTCCTGTCTTGTTTGTGGGCAGTTAACATATTTACTTACAGGTTGCCATCTGAGAGTAGTGATATTTTAAAGAAGGTTGTTAAACACTTGTAATCATAAAGTATTATTACAATTTGAAATGTCTCTATTTTTGAAGAATGAGAACTTTTATGACTTAGCTTTAGGGTGACTTTAGCTTGCCTTTTGAAGTTAAATAGATTAGTTACCAAGGGGAAACTAAGGCAGGGAAATATCTTTTGGTGTATGATTTTCAAAAGTATTTGTTTTTGTTTTTTCCTCAGAGAGCAATAGCTATTGCAACTTCAATGCTTCCAGAGACATTATTATTGTTTTCAGTTTCAGGGAAGAATATTGGAAGATGTACTTGAGTACAAGGTGGTTTTTAAATAGATTTTTATAGTAGTTCATTGGCATATGCTTAATTCTTTTGAATACTTGCATTGAAATGTTCTTAACTAATGGCAATTTTATCTTTTTTGACATTCTTTTATGTTTTTCATTAAATAACCTATTTGTAACAATGGGTGTTCTTTTAAGCTATTTGTGGTTTTCTGTATTTAGTGTAAATAATATGAAAATAAGCTTTTGGAAGTGAGTATAGTTAAGATTTTGAGAAGACAGTGAATTTGTTACCTTTCTTTGATCTATAGCCTTATCTATCATCTTTAAAATAGTTTGAAATTTATAAGAAGAATTCAGTCAAATCAAAACAGTTTTGAAATTTTGAATACCTGTCTGTCCTCTAACCATGTGAGCTTCTATATGCCTATTTACTCTAAAGATCTGCTTTATTTTAGAATTGTAGTTGGGGAAAAATAGAGTACTGTAACTGGTATTGCACTATGTATATGAGGCTGTTTTAAAATTGATGATGTCATAAATGTACACAGTTGTTCTTAAGCATCTATTCTTATTTGTCATGAGGCATTTGGTCAGCTTTTTTGATTTATGGCTGAGTTAACAGGTCTTCATTAAGCACCTGTGCTGTTTTGTTTTATGGAATTCACCCAGTTTGAGGTATATTGATTCAAAGCCCATTATGTTTTTTTTTAAATTTCTGGGTGTTTAAGGCAACCAACCCACCAGTATATTCCTATATACTTCAAGGTTGCTAAGAAAATAAAATTTGATATAAAACAAGTATTTCTTTGCCTAACAGACAAACTCGAACATTTTCGCCACTGTTCTTTACATTCTGGTTGTAACCAAGTATTATTTCTGATTAGGCCTCCAGGAGAGAGCAGTATTTTGCTAGTATTAGTTGAAATCAGTATGCACATTGGAAATTGGGTATTTTTAAATGCTAAGCAATTGCACATTTATGACCAAGTAGCTTAGGTTATAACTAGACTTAAAATATGCTTTTCTTATTTCAAAATGTATCTTAAATCTTACTAAAGACAAATAATAGGATTTTGATGGTCAGTTACAGGCTAGATGTGACTCATTTTTTTGAGTTTGTTCCTTTTTAGCTGCCTGCCTGTTCCTCCCAGATGCTTCCTATCACCCCTTTTCCTGCCCCTGTTCTCTTCTGTTGGTGTCTGTTTCCGCATTAGTGAAATGGTCTGGGTAATCCTGGGCTGTCTCACTAAGAAATAATTGATGATGGTAAAGTGCCTTAAAAAGGCTGAGTAAATACTAGGTCTTTTGAATGAAAATGACTTATCCCCTTGCTCCATTATAAGTTAGTTCTAAAGACAAATTTTTAGTTTGAATTCTTATGGGGGGTATTTTATTTGAGATTGTTTATTGCCCCTATCTTGGGGTTAAATGGAATACTGGAATGGATGCAAGAGGTTCCTCTGTTGTTTGAGCTACTAGTCACCTTTTAGAAACGAAGTCATTATTAATGTCATAGAGTTAGTACATGGGATCTTCAGATTAGAAATTTTTGTAGAAATAGAAAACCTAGAAATTTGACAATAGGCAATGTTGGTGATTTTTTTTAACTTTCATTCTCTTTTTAAATACTCTTTTAAATCTTTTATCCTGAGGGATATAGAAGAATGTTAATTTCATTTGTCTTAAATCCAAAGTGGTATCATTTACTTTCTTAATTTTATAAATATAGGAATATAATAGTGTTAAATATGTTTTACACACTTATAGCTTGGGTTTTAGTTATTTGAGGCATAGAAATGCCTTTACCGCTAATGTCTCTTTTGCAAAAGTTTAACAAAAATGATAGTTATTTAAGCAGGCTAAATTGAACAAATTTGAGAAAATACCTAAGATTTGAAATTGGCATATACTGTTTGGTTTTTATGAATAAGGCATTTTTGGTTATTTTGCCTTTGTTATCTTGTATATGTAAACCTTTGTAGTAATAGAATTAATAGAGAAGGTGTTTATTGTGATATCTTTTAAACATAATATCCCTAAGTCTTTCTCTCACTTTAGTTTTGGGCCATGTGATGGGATGTTTTTTTTAACAAGAAGTGAGGATAACATATTATGTGAAAAGTTAAGTGATTTTCAGTTCACACGGCAGCTGGATTTGATGGTGTTTTCTAGACTAGATGAGTTCTTTAAAGAGTTAAAAAGTGGAGTAAACTTGTTGAATTTTTGTGTGAGTAAAGAGCTGGGAAATATTTGAAGATGGAGAACACTTAACTCCCCTACTTGTGACTTGTGTTTATGGCTGTGGTTCTGCCCCTTCCTAAGTTTATAGGACCAAATTGTTCTAAGAGCGGAAAGAGAGTGCTCACCTTTTGTAGTAATTTGCCATTGTAAACTTCCAAAAGGAAAGACACACTGAAGTTCTATGATATACTTGAGGATACTTTCGTTTCTTAGGAAAAAGTTTGTGTGTCTTGCTTCTTGTCTTCAGAATACATATCACAATTTTCACAACTTTTGTTTTGCAAAAGGATTAGCTAGTACAGAATTCTAGACATAAACAACTCTATTTGATATGTACCTTACAGTCTTTAGTAGTTATTTAAGAATGAATACTATCGAAGTCCTTGATTTTAATATGTGGTCACTTTTCCTAGCTTTTATCAGTTTTGGCTAGCTTTTATTTTGATTTATATATAAACTTAAATTCAAACACTAATCCAAATGTATTTAAGTTCTCTTACTATTGAACACAGAAATATCCTTCTTGCTGTGGAACTGTTTTATTTTTTCTTGGAAAAAATTAAAGGGTATTATTTGGAATGTTTTTCATTATAAAGTTACTTGGAAGTAATGTCCATATTCATTTTTTAACTAACTTGGTAGAATTTTGTAAATATGCTCAAACAAAACAGTCTTGTAGTCATTATTGAGATAAAATAGCCATTAGTGATAAATACATGTGTGTATTACTTTAGATTACTTTATAATCAGTTTTTTTCATGTTTAGACTTCAGAACTTGTAGAGTTATTTAAATGAGTAGTTTGCTGATACCTGCTACGTTTGAAGTATTGTCAGGGATGTTTAGTTTTCTAGACACTTTAGATTGTAGTTTATTGCATGCTTTTCTACATTCTGTTGCTTAGTAGGCACTGTTGTCATCATTTCCATTATTTCTTGTCAGACTTGTGTTAGAAACCATAAATCTAGGCTGCACTGATAATAGAAGCAGGCTGTAACTTGATCTACTTCTTTTGTCAAAGTATAACACCATGGGCTGCCTGTAGTAAATTGACATACCATGTCATTAACTCTAGCCCTTCACAAATGTCAGTGGGCAGCAGGTCTTTGGGCAATTAGCTTGTGGCTGTGCTTTAAAACCTTAGGAATTTACAACTGTAAACTAGAATTTTGGCAACTCTTGGCTTGTATTTCATTTATCTATTTTCTGACAGAAAATGCTGTCTAATTATGTACAGAACTTCCACATTTAATTTTAAAATGGCAAGTTATTCTTTAACTTGTAAGTTATAAATATAAATAACTTAAGAATATAATTCTTGGATTTTTTTCTTCTTAATTCTTTTCTTTCTTTCTTTCTTTCTTTCTTTCTTTCTTTCTTTCTTTCTTTCTTTCTGTTTTTGAGCCAGGGTCTCACGTAGCTCACTGACCTTGAACTCATCATTCTCCTGTCTTCCATGTTGAATTTGTTTTGACAAACAAAAAAAAACTGATTTCTAATTTGTTGGGGTAGATCTTGCTAAAAGATTGCTAAAATCTTTCCCATAGAAAACTTTATTTTTGTTGGAAGATTCCATTTAATTGCAAATCCCTACTACCATAATATAATTATTGGGGAGTCACCAATGGAATTGTTACTTTATTTTATCCTTAGTAATATTTTTCTTTTGAGACAGTTAGTTTTCCTATTTGCAGTCTTCTTGACTTAGCTTCTCATGTACTGGGATTATAGGAGTGTGTCACTGTGCCTGGCTATTTTCAAATGTAGTTGTGCAATGTAGGTTGTTTATTTTTGATATGGGACTTGAGTATTTTAATAACCTGGGTGAATTAAATCCATAATTGTGAAGTCTTAGCATGATGAATCATGATCAAGTCAACAAGTAACATATGGATATATCTACCCTTATAGTCTTTTTTTTTTTTAGGATAGCCATCAGCACTGTAAAAATCTTAGTTATAAGAGTGCTTTTGTTTGTCAGAGAGAAGCATGTTGCTATAATATATTTGAATTAAATGAACACTATTTCAAGTCAAATGAAAAACCTTTAAGTGTGTGTGTTTTGTGCTTTCAACTCACTTTTCCCTCTTGCATACTATGTAGACAAAGGGTTTTTGTTTTAGCTGAAAATGTTAGCTTTATACATTTATAATATGAATAGATAGAATTTCATTGGAAGATTATTAGTATATGGAACTTTGAAAGTGTATATAAAATACATACATACTTTCTTTTTTCTTTTTTCTTTTTTTTGGTTTTTCGAGACAGGGTTTCTATGTGGCTTTGGAGGCTTTCCTTGAACTAGCTCATGTAGACTAGGCTGGTCTCGAACTCACAGAAATCTGCCTGCCTCTGCCTCCCAAGAACTGGGATTAAAGGCGTGCGCCACCATCATCCAGCTAAAATACATACTTTCAAATTTATGTTTATGGGTTCATGTGTATGTTATTAAATTTTAATTGGAAGGATAAACAACAGATGGTTAACAGCATGCATTTCTTGATAGTGAGGTTATAGGTGATTTTTCACCCTCACATTTACTTATCTGTATAATAATTTTGAGGAGAAAATGTTATATGATGAATTTTTTAAAGAAAAAAAATCCAGTTTCTAGGAATACACAAGACTGGCCTAGTGTGGGTCAAAAACTTTTTCCAGGATTAACTCATCATAAAAGAAAAAATGTTTGTGAATATTTATCTCAGAGTTATTCAGCACAAGGTGGCATTGGTTTGGGTTTTGCTAGACCATTTCTCTGATAATTAGTAGAGAATGGCTTCTCTTTTGGCAATGGAAATATCTGATCATTGTAAACCTATATATTTAACCTACCTACCTCACTCTTTTTTTTTTTTTTGCTTTTCAAGGCACTATTTCTCTGTGTAGCTTTGTAGACCAGGCTGGCCTCGAACTCACAGAGATCTGCATGCCTCTGTCTCCCGAGTGCTGGGATTAAAGGCGTGCGCCACCCTGCCTGACATATTTTGTTTCTGTCTTTAGGGTCTCACTTGTTCAAGACTCTAGATTGGGTACTACACTTACATGGTTATATCTCATTTTCATGATACAAGGTATAGTGTAAGGAATGTTATGTATAATTTAACATCGGAAAACCTCTGAGCCATTTATACAGCCTTGAATCTTCCTGTATTGTCTTCTGGACTCATGAACCTTGTAGTTCTAGCTGATACCAACTAGTCTGCCCAATTGATTATTCTAGTCTGACTTTTAGAGGAAAGGTCAAAGAGAGATGAGTAATGTTTTATGAGTTATGTGTGTAGGGTACCCCCTAAAGCCATGACCTCTGAGAGAATATAGAAGGAATTGAGGACCAAGAAGAAACCTGATCAGCAATGGATTTCATAAAGCTAGTGGCAGAGACATGAGCTTCTTTTGTGTCTTCAGTCTGACATTCCACTTTGTTCTTTCTCTATTCATTGAAACTGTGTGAATGTGCTTGTGTGAATGACTTACAACCCCCCCTCCATGCACACAGTATTTGTGCACAGGCAAATATAAACTCATGAAACTTAGAAGTGGGTCACTCAACCCTTTCTTCTTAGTGTCTTCTTTATATCCATCATTCTCTTAAATCTGCAGTTGTTTTTCACACATTGGAGCATTTGTTTAAGGATGTAAGCATTCTCTCCCCTCTGTCTTCTCTCGTTTTTTTCTTCTCTTGAGCCTAGATTTTTCTTCCCATTTGTTCTTTCTGCCTGCCAGCCTTGCCTGTCCTTTCTCTGCCCAGCTGTTGGCTGTTCAGCTCTTTATTGGACCAATCAGGTGACTTAGGTAGGCAAGGTGAAGCAAATGCAACATGTCTTTACATAATTAAACACACATGCTTAAACAAATGCAACATAAACAAAAGTAACACACCTTTACACAGTTAAAGTAATGTTCAACAACACAAACAAATGTAACACATCCTTTCTACTTAAAACCTACCTGCATGCCTTCCTGCCTGTCTATGTTTTGTGCTTGTGCTCTTGTCTGTCTTATGCTTTTGGAGTTCAGAAGATGGTTTCCAATCCCCTGGAACTGTAGTTGCAGCATATGTGAGCTCTCTAAACTTGTTTTCTGGAAACTGAACTGCAGTCCACTGTAATAGCTCTTAGCCACTGAGATATCTCTCTAGCACAAAATTCCCAGTTTTTATGTAGTAAACTGTATCTTTCCCCCCATTCTTTTCTCCCTTCAATCACAGGACTTGCTGGGTATTAAAGCTGGCTTCAAATTCACAAGTCTCCTGTTTGAGCCTCCTAAATGTTGGGATTCTAGGCTTGTTCTCCACTGCTAACTCTAGAATGTGCATCCTCTACCCACATAGTACCAAGCACAACATTGGAATTATATCAATATTTGTTAAGTGAATGAGTAAACCAAATCTGGAGTCAGATACTTGTATTAAATAAAGAAACAGGAAAACTTTCAGGAAATAGGTTGTGTTTATTGAAGATCTCAAAGTCCTGGTAGTATTTCAAGAAGCAGAAAAGAAGAGGGTATTCTATGTAGTCAAAACAAGACAGGAGTCATTGAAACAACAATCTTTTTGGGTTAGTGTATAGGGTGTGTTTGAGTGATATGTATGTCTGGCGGTTTTGAAATTGTGGAGGGTCTTAGTGTTAACCCATAGAAAGCTCTGGATATTTTTTTCTTAATTGCATAGCCAGTTGAAACAGGAGGGTGATTTGGGAGGAAAACAGCCCAGACTCTATCTGACATTATGTATTATTATGTATTATTACGGTAGAAAAGTACACCAACGGTAAAACAAGTTGAACAGCCGTGTTACTACAGCAGGTAGAACTGTATGATAGTATAGACCAGTGAGTGTCAAGAGGAAGGGAAATTAGGAGTGTAGTCTGTTGTTGGCCACTGAAAGAACAGATGTACAGCTAAGTATTGAGGAAAGTATCAGAAGAAGCAAAGTTGGGGAGTAGAGGCTGAAAATACAATCTATATCTCTAACCCAAGAGATATAGATGTCTTTCTGGGCAATTTCATAAGTATATTCCCTTAATTACCAAATTACATTCAGTCTATACACCATCACATTTTAACAGCAGGCATATAGCATTGGCATGCTGTATTGAGATTTTCTATGCACCTGATTTTTTTCATAATATTTTTTCTGTGTTTTATTAATATATCAATTTTGGCTTGGATTGAGCTCTTCTGTTAGAAGGACAGTCTCATAAATATGTCTGTTTTAGAGTATGGGACATGCAGGAAAAAATCAAACCAATTAATAGTGGTTTAAATCAATCAGGCCTCCTAACAGGCAATTTGCCCCTAAAATTAATTTACTTGAAATTTGAGACAGAATCTCACTGTGTAATCCAGGATGACTTTAAATTTAAGATCCACCTTCCTCAGCTTTCTGAGTGCTGAGATTATAGACCTGTACCACAGTACTTACTCAGCTCTTAACAAGTAATTCTTGTTAGAAGATTTGATTTGTGGAACTTTTAATTGCATTCATGATTTTTCTATTTCTCACCAATATTACGTGGACTTTGGTATAGGTCTTAAATCGAAATTCAGTGACTGCCAACCTACCATCTGCTCTGATTTACCCTTTCATAGGACCTTAAAGGGGAGTCCTATACTTACCCATGTTCCTTTAGCACTTACTACTCATACACATTTTTTCTAACTAATAGCTACCTTATCATTTTGTTGAGGTGATCTGACTCTGAAAATCATTTTTGCTACTATTACCTCTCAGAAATTTATGATACTTAAAGTAAGGCATTAATTGTTTCTTTGTAGGAAAATAAAACAGAAGAGGATACCATGGGACAAACAGTGAATGAAGGTAAGATTTGCTTATTTAAAGATTGTTTTTAGTTGTTTGTAACAAGTACCTTAATATATACTGAACTCTAATATGAATGAATGAATAAATAATTTTTTCATTCTGTCTTTCTGTAGGTAGAAGTCTGTTTCTTAGTGACTCATTAATATGCCACACCTATCTATACTTTGTTGTGCTTTATTTGCTGTAATGCATTCTTCACACATTTGCCTCCTTGTTCCTTCTTCAAGTCTTGTATATCTTACTGCTTTTTTAATGATTACATGTTGAGTTCTGAATTTTGTCCTTTCATTTGTTTAGTTTTTTAGTTTGTTGACCTTGGTGAAGTATTTATAAATAGATTACTGATTTTCCTGAAACAAGACTAATGCCATTGTATTTTTGTGTTAGAAGTTCCTTACTATAGAACTATTTAGTAAATTTTATGAATGTGTGATTTCTTCAGACAATGCTAACAGAAGATAGCTATGTATTTCTCTAAAGTATTCATATACATTGAAGAATTTCTTAATCAAAATCTTAAAGACATATCAATTATTGCTATATGGAACTCTGAGTCCTGAGATTCAAGCATTCACACTTAAGATAACGAAGGCAGTTTGAAAAACAATGATACTGTGGATTATTTGATGATATTAAGAACTTAGGATAATGGGGGTGGAGGACAAGAGAAAGAGGAGGGGAGAAGGGGAACAGGGAGGAGAACATGAGGGATCAGGAAGGTTGAGTTGGGGCAAGAACAGAGAAAGACAGTAGGAAAGAGTTGCCTTAATACAGGGAACCATTATGGGCTTATGGAGAAATCTGGCTTTAGGAAAATCTCCAGGGATCCACAAGGATGATCCCACCCAAGAATCTAAGCAATAGTGGAGAGGCTACCTTAAATGCCATTCCCCTATAATGAGATTGATGACTACCTTAAATGCTGTCCTAGAGCCTTCATCCAGTAGCTGATGGAAGTTGAAGCAGAGATCCACAGCTAAGCACTGAGCCAAGCTCCTGGAATCCAGTTATAGAGAGGGAGGAGTGATTAGCAAAGGGGTCAATACCATGCTGGGAAAACCCACAGAAACAGCTGACCTGAGCAAGTGGGAGCTCAAGGACCCCAGACTGACAGCTGGGGAACCAGCATAACCAGGCCCCTGAATGTGGGTATCAGTTGGGGGACTTGGACAGTCTATGGGGCCACTGGCAGTGGAACCAGTATTTATCCCCAGTGCACGAATGAACTTTGGGAGCCCATTCCTCCATGGAGGGGTACTTTCTCAGCCTAGATATACAAGGGAGGGCCTAGGTCCTGCTCCAAATGATGTGACAGACTTTGATGATCCCCCATGAGAGGCATCAACCTCCCTGAAGAATGAATGGGAGGACAGGAGAGGGAGGGAGAGGGAACTGGAATTGGTATGTAAAATAAGATTGTTTTTAATTTAAATAAAATTAAAAAATAAAAATAAAGAACCTAGGATAATTTTTAGCATTACATTTTATATTTATTTATTTCTTATACTCTAATTTGTTTGAGTGAAGTGATATATTTTAGATTTGGTGACATCTCAAGAATTTTGAGTACTTGTTGAATTATTTAGTTTACATAGAGGAAAACCAGAGTAGTTCATTGAAGTACATTATACTCTATTCTAGCTTGCATGTGATATTTTAAACTCTTGAAAGCATCACTCTGTTTCTAGGAAATCATTTTAAGCAGTTTGAGGATCCATCAATAGTTCATTTACATTATTGGCACATCCATTTAACAAATGTTTGAGAGCATTCTATATCACAGATCCTGGACTATTTTGTAAGCATATATTACTTAGCATGACAGACAGAATTAAATACCTGCTTTTATGAAGCTCTCATTTTAGTAGTGAAAAAGTCAGTAAACAAAATGCACAAGTAAGTTATAAAGTATAGCATACATCAGAAATTGTTGGGACACATAGAAAATGAAGATTATTATAAAATTTAAACAGGTTCCCATTTAAAAATTAAATTAATTTTATAGGTTTTGAAGTGCTTGCTCAGACTATTCCAATGTTATTTTTTCCCTTTTGGTTAGAATCAATGGATGTCAAGAAGGACAATCAAGAAAAAACCACTCACTCAAGTACATCTTCTGTGCAAAGCAGTAAGTAGGTTTTGAAGTAATTTAATAGCTCATTTTTCTTCCTCCTTCAGTGTTATAATGAACTCATGTTGCTTCTGGTATAGTACATTATGCTAACTCCCGATACCATAAAATCCTAGTCATAGAAAGGGTCAAAAATTTACTGTGACATTTTAACTTTAATTTTATTTAAAGATGAATTGATAAAGTTTTCGTGAAATTACAATTGTATTTTTAAGTGTAAATTTGTCCATTTTAATAGAAATTTGTCGCTTAAAATTATCAGAATTTTTATTTAGAAATGAAAGTACCTAATCAACTAGGCAACTATATGAATATATTTTCAGGATCTAGACCCTGGCATTTCACTTTAGTAACCAGTGAGTGACTGTTAGGGGTAGTATTTATTTTTTTATTTTTATTTTTTTATATTTTGGCTGATGCATCTGTTATACATAGGATAATGCTTGACACATATTATAGTCCAGACAAGACAGATATGATTTCTGCTTTCTCTGATCTTAAGTGGGCTGGTAGATAGTAAATACCTAATTATAGTTGTAATAAATGCTATGAAATAATGTATGCTGTTAATTAAACTTAAGAGACTTTATCTAAGATATTTCCCACTCACCATCTTCACATAACATATGAACCAAATCCGGCACTGGTAAAAGACATTACAATTTTGACTCACTCCAGAGAAAGTCATTGAGTTTGATAGAGATTATATTCCATGTGCCACAATGTATTAGACCTAATTTATAAATTAGAATGGAGTACAAGATAATATGAAGAAGGACTCCATGAATATGTGTGTGCACAATAGTCAGATCACACAGTCATGTATTTGCACCCATCTTTTGAAGAGAAATATCTGTTTCCAGATATCTTCTCCAAGAGAAAATGACCTCAGTCTCTCCTATTCTAATGAGAACATGACAAAAGGCAGAAAAAAAACTTAAGGTTGACTTTTGGTTTCTGGTTAGGAATTCCAACTGTGGTGTTGATGTAGGTGTTAGGTGTGTTAAATCTCAACTAATAAATATTGGATCCATGTGTGCTTTCATTGTGTTAATGGTAGTGATCACATGGGAAGCCAAGAACTGTTTTGTTAAGGCAAAGTAAATCTCTGTTTGCTATATACTATTGATTGTCATTGGCTAACAATATGATAGATAAAATAATCATGCTAATTGAATGATACTGGATAGGAATTGGTAACTCAGATACAAACTAAGATAGAATATTTACAACTTATGTTGCTAAGAGTTTGTTGAACATATCTATAATTCCCGCACTTGAGAGGCTCAGGGTAGGAAGACTGAGTTTGAGGGTTGCCTAGACTATGTGGCAAGACTTCATTTCAAACAAAATTTTGTGTTGATCAGATACATTAAATAGTTCTCATTTCATCTAAAACATCACAGATACTGGTTCAAAGAAGAGTATTAGCTCTCTGAGGAATAAATGGGAAAATATTTTCGTCATTGTTTTCCTTCTGGGGTGTCATAACCTTAACTGTATCTTGGTCTTTTTGTTGTTTGTAATTCATGTTTTATTTTGTTCTTTTTTGATGCTCTGTTAGATCATTTGGTAGTGCTTCAATTAGAATTGTAGCATTCCTGATGGTTAGGTTAGGAGACCATGGAAATATATTGACAATTTAATTGTTGACTTGTGGATCTCAGTTTTTACTTTGACAAAGCTAAGAATTTATAACTAAACTAAGTATTTACAACTTTGGAGAGAGTTTTAACATTAATCATTATAATACAGTATTAAGTGTTCATAGGTATTCATTTAATTCTAAACATGTGTGGTACCATATATATTAATTTCACATGCTGTAAATAAGATAACTGAAGAAGAGAAAGTGAAATGATATGCTCAGGGTTGTAAAAGAAGAGATATAGCCATACTGAAAACAGGCAGATCTGACTCTGAAGTGCATGTTTTTGACACTTTGCATCATGATTTTCAGTACTATGATAGTACTCATTTTACATCATCTGGAAGTAGGATCAAATTGTAATTTTAGATCATTGGCTGAGTTTTATTAAAAATTCTATAATCTTACATATGGCATGCTTGCTACATATGCACAGATATGTGAATACTTATTTTATGATATACAAGGGCTGGCTCATACTGACTTGGAGGAGCTTCTTGTGCACATCGTTCCCTAACTTCATGGTTGATGGCTTTTGTTTGGCCTACTACAGTCAGCCATGGTGTCAATATTTATATTATAGAAATCCACGGATACTTACAGTCAGGTTTTTTTATTTTTATTTTCTAGAAAACTGATAAACAATCACTGTGTGCAGATATCTGTGCTATCCTTTGAAAGATTTAATAGTCCTTTCTTTGGTAGAGGTATATTCTAAGATTCTACTCTGGTAGATGTTTGACACTAGATAGTAGTGTATGCTTTACATACAAGTATATGATAATTTTTGATTTATAAATAAGGCACAATGAGAGATTGGCAGCTATTAGCATAAATATAAGGAACCGTAACATAGTTTTTTTCCAACTTTTTTATTTGAGTTAGTAACAGGATTGTTTTACATGACAATCCCAGTTCTCTTCTCCCACCTGTCCTCCCCTACCACCCCCCACAACTAAAACCCTATCTATCAATATCCTTTCTGCTCCCCCTGGATGATGAGGCCTTCCATAGGGTGTCATCAGTGTCTATTGTATCCTTTGGGATAGGGCCTAGGCCCACCCCCTCATGTGTGTTGGCTCAGGGAGAATTCCTCTATATGAAATGGGCTCCCAAAGTCCACACCTATGCTAGGGATAAGTACTGAACTTCTACAGGAGGTCCTGTAGATTTTCGAGGTTTCCTCACTGAAACCCACGTTCCTGGGGTATGGATCAGTCCCATGCTGGTATTCCAGCTATCAGTCTGGAGAGCAAGAGTTCCCAGATGTTCAGGTCAGCTGTTTCTGTGGGTTTCACCAGCCTGGTCTGGACCCCTGTGCTCTTCACTCTTCCTTCTCTGCATCTGCGTTCCAGTTCCGTTCGGTGATTAGTTGTGGGTGTCTGCTACTTCCACCAGCTGCTGGATGAAGGCTATAGGATGACATATAAGTCAGTCATCAATCTCATAATCAGGTGAACGCAGACATTAAAGGTAGCCTCTCCTCTATTGCTTAGATTGTTAGCTGGTGTCATCTTTGTAGATCTCCAGACATTTCCCTAGTACCTGATTTCTCTGTGAACCAAAAATGTCTCCCTCTATTATATCTCCATTCTTATTATCATCTATTCTTCCCCTGACTCAAACTTTATGCTCCTTCATGTCCTCTGCACCCTCTTCTTCTCCCTTTCTCATTCTCCTAGCTCCCTCCCCCCTCTTCCCGTGCTCTCAATTTGCTCAGCAGATCTTGACCCTCTCCCCTTCTCCATGGGACCATGTATGTTTCTCTTAGGGCTCTCCTTGTTTATTAGCTTCTTTGGCAGTGTGGATTGTAGGCTGGTAATCCTTACTCTATGTCTAAAATCCACATATGAGTGAGTACATACCATGTTTGTCTTTTTGCAATTGGTTTACCTCGCTCAGAATGGTTTCTTCTAGATCCATTCGTTTTCCTGCATATTTCAAAATTCCATTGTTTTTTTCCACTGAGTAGTACTCCATTATGTAAATGTACCACATTTTCTCTATCCATTCTTCGGTTGAGGGGCGTCTAGGATGCTTCCAGTTTCTGGCAATTACAAATAGTGCTCCTATGTACATCGTTGAACAGATGTCCTATTATGAATGTGCTTCTTTTGGGTATATGCTTAAGAGTGGAATTGCTGGATCTTGTGGTAGACTGATTCCCATTTTTTGAGGAGTCACCATACTGATTTCCAAAGTGGCTCTACAAGTTGGCACTCCCACCAGCAGTGGAGAAGTGTTCCCCTTTCTCCACATCCTCTCCAACATCAACTGTCATTGGTGTTTTTGATTTTGGCCATTCTGACAGGAGTAAGATGGTATCTCAAGTTGTTTTGATTTGCATTTCCCTGATGGCTAAGGATGTTGAACACTTTCTTTCATTGTTGAGAGCTTTCACCTTGCCATTTAATGAAAGGGTATCCCTTTATGCTTTCTCCCTGGCATATCTGAATTGCCAGCATCAATATTCTTGTACTTTGTGGTCATTGTTAAGTTGAAAGTAAGATAAGATATTTGAACACTGTCTGTTTGTTACCTTAGCAGGCAGTTTGATGACAAATTTGTTACTGTGTGATTTAACAGGCTGGTTGCATTCATGGCATAAGTCTCTTGAGTGGGATAGAGTGTGACTGTGAGATTTCATCACACTACTTACAGTAAATGTACAATATAAAACTTATGAATTATCTCTGGAATTGTCTCTTTAATATTTTGGAGTGAAATTGAATCAAGATAATTGAAATCATACATAAGGGAAGCTGAGGATAAAGAAGTACCACTGCATATCAGAAACTGTTAATGTAGATTCACTCAGGGAAGAGAAGTTCAAATTTTATTTTAGTGTTTAACAAGACTATAAATACATTCTGTTTGCTGAAAATTAAATTCTACATATGAATATATAATTTGTTAGTATTTTTAATCACTTTGTCAAGTGTCTTGACAGTCTGCTTAATATAACAAAAGTATTCAAGATTTCTGATAGCACTGTGCTATGTCATGAAGACTACATGAAAGAGCACAGCAAGAATCTATAGAAGGTGTGCAGCACTAAAATAATCTGTTTCAGTGACTGCACTGTTCACTTGTTTACTGCTCTGTCTTAACACCATGTTTTTGACACTGTGGATGGAAATTTAATAGCCCATTAAGAACTACTCTGGTTCTCAGAATTTTCTTTTTATAAAACATCACAGTGTTACAAATTCTGTTAGAATACATATTAAACACCTTTAGCTCCCCATAAAAAACAAAGTGCCTTCACATTAATGGGGTGAGTGATAAAAATTCAACAAAAGTTTGAAGCAGATGTATATTTGACTCAAATGCATAGATTTTCTAGTCTATAAAATTTTCCTAGTTGTTTCTAGTGTCCATACTACTTTTTTTTTACTGTAAGGTATTGAGCCTTGGGCCTCTACTTTTGCTTCACACCCCCAGCCCATCCTTCAAAATCATTCTGCTTTAGTTCACAATTCATTAAGATGATATGGGTTATAATTTCCATTAGAACCATTATTATCAGGAAGTTGCTTCTATTTCTGTGCATAATTGAATGCAAACTGAGAAATTTGAACCTGATTTGTAGAAAGTATTGTTTCCCCTTTTTAATTTTTGATATTATAATGTAATTATAGGTCTTTCTTTTTTCCCTTTACTTCCTTCAAAACCCTCCCATGTCTTCCTTGTTCCATGTATAGATTAAAACTTAATTCATTCAGAAGAAAATCTTATTGTATACTCCAAACCCAACTTATTTTGAATGTTTTTTCCAGATCATTTTGACTGGGACAAGTATTTGAAAGAGACTGGCTCTGTAAGTGCTCCTTCAGAATACTTCAGACAGGTATGCCAAAATTCTGTTGAGACTTTATACAGTAATGTACAGAATTAACTTGTGGAATGGTATCAGTGTGGTTTCCGGGTTCTGGTAGTATTAGGAGAAAGTAGGATTATGTTTGTGCCACTCAAAACCAAATGATCTATTTGCAATAATTTTGTTAGATATACTAAGCCCTTAAAATTGCCCATCTAGAGGGAAAGACAGAAATAATTAATATAAGAAATGTGATAACCCTGTACTGAGAGTTCTCATGGAACAGATGCTATTTAAGATTGTTAGAATGAGAAGAAAGAAAATATCCAAAATATTTAAGTATCAAGAGATGGCACAAAGTAGCTGGAGTGCAGGGTGGATAGAGGCACATATGGGATCAAGGCTAAAGGTGCGTAGGGGTGTTTGAAGTATGCTGGAGAGTTCAATTTTATCGTAGACTTTAATAGGATTTCTAGTTTTCTCATTTCAAGGGGAATGGCTTAATGAAATTCTTATTTTTTAAAGTTTTTCAGGGTGTATTTTATAGGCTATATTTGGGTTTTTTGGATGTGCAGATGAGTGAGACTAGTTATAGCCAGCCTTTTTTATGCTGCATGTCAGTCAAAAGGGAGACTTTGCCTTGAGCCTTGTAACATTGACCTCATTCACCTGCTGTGACTTTACCTAGTAAACACCTTCTAAGTATTTTGGTAACATAATTTGCTGTCTGATTTTCTTATAGTTATGCATTTTAACACAATGTTATTTGTATATAGTCTCTGACTCCACCAACTAATGAATTCCAAGTTGGTATGAAACTGGAAGCCCGTGACCCTCGCAATATTGGTTCAGTGTGTGTTGCTTCTGTTATTGCAACTACTGGGGCCAGATTACGTTTACGACTGGATGGTAGTGACAATAAGAATGATTTCTGGAGACTTGTTGATTCATCAGACATACAGCCTGTTGGGACATGTGAACAGGAAGGAGATTTACTTCAACCTCCACTGGGTAAGGATAAACAGTTCTTGAAATAACATAGTCTTATAGTAAGCTATTCACTAGAGGTGGTTTGAAGTGTCCTTTTGAAAACCACTCAGGCCTTCTTTCTAACTATATGGTCAGGGAGTTACTGTAGAGGATATATGATTGGAGAGGAGCACAGTACCATGTCACTTCTATACTGCACAAGTGTGCTGAAAGGCCTCATTTTTGAGCAAATGTTAATAGTAATTTTCAAATTTAAAATACCCCAAAAGCTTTCTTATGCTTCTGGAAACTCTTCTAGAGAAGTCTGTAATATTTCATATGAGTGACATACCTCTTGATACTGACTATTGAGCCATTCAGCAGTTTTGGTATGAGGATTAGGATAGGAAGAATGTAAAATTATGAGAGGTATAGAAGAATTGGTAATTTTTAGTCATTGAGAGAGTTCTTTCAGTACTAACCATTAGACACCAAGGACTTAGTTACTGTTTGTCATAGAAAAAGTGAGAGAGTGGAAATTTTAACCAAGGGTTTACGTTTAAGCACATGTAGTGTTTGGCTGGGCCATGTTTGTAAAATGTGAAAAGGTTATGACATATTTTGGAAAAAAATCTTTTTAGAATTGAGGATCATAAAATGTGTAGAAAATAAGTGATTCGTTTATTTCATCATCATTTTTCATTTTCAGTGAATTTCAGATGTTTTCATGTTCTTTTATAAAGCTTAAAATAAGAATTAATGTAAAACTCAGAGTATTTCCCAAGAACCAGTAATACAGAATACTAAGAATAATTACTTTGGTAATATCTTTTAAATTTTTGTTTATTAAAATTGATTTAGTTTAAGGGCTGGGTTGTAGCCCAGTGACAAGAGTACATAATTAATATTCATGAAGAGCTGTATCCAATTATAATTACCAAAATTACTTTAAAGTAATTTTAAAGGGGATGCAGTGAAGCTTAGTGGCAAGGTGCTTGCTTATCAGCCGCCCTTCATTGATTATTAAACCTGTCAGAGGTACATTTGCTGTTTCTTTCTTTTCTGAGACTGGATCTTAGTAATATGTATATAACTCAGGTTGGCCTTGAACTATTGATCCTCCTGTTTCAGCTTTCTGAGTGCTGAGATTATAGGTCTGTGCCACTACACAAAAAGATTTTTTTTTTATTTTTGCCTTTTCTTTAACATTAATTGTATGTGTATCTATACACATGTGACACAGAATACATGTGAAAGTCAGAGTACGACTTGGGGAAATCAGTTGTCTTCCTTGTACCATGTGGGTTCTAGGTGTCAAATTCAAGTGGTCAGGCTTGGCAATAAGCATTGAATAACAACCATTCCATCCATTTCCACTATCACCATTTGTTCTCCTAGTTATATTTTAAGTAATATTAGTAAAAGATTATTTGAGGATGACTTGGTCTATCTTAACATTTTTGCATATGTTGCTGTTAATAGCTCTGTTGCCAGTGATTCACATGTGCCCCTACCTTAGTAAATGAATTCATCAAGAGTGCACAGAAACTGTTTTCCAAATTTAGCATTGGGGGAGGCAGGTTTTGAGTGAAAATGATTGCCCCAGAAAACAGTAAAACTAGCAAACTTATACTCGCTGCTGCAAATTTGAAATGCTGATATAAGTTGGTAAAATTTCTAAACATAGCTATTTTGGTAACTTCTGTTACAAATTTTAAGATTATGTCTAGTATGTGTAAGAATTGCTAAAGGAAGAGAAGTCTTTTTCCTAATACCTTATGAAAGGTTTTAGTCATATGCAAAATGTAAAAACTTTTACAATGAACATCCATAGACTCACTACCTCTTTATTTTTACCATATTGCTTTATTTTTATGTTCATCTATCTTATTTTTATATATCCCAGAATAGTTATTGATAATAATATACTTCCCTTAAATATATACGTATTGCTTACTAGAATACATATTCATAGTTTTTTTATCTTTAAAAATTTAAAATAAGATGCATTTTGTATATGTACATTTGTGAAGTTCAACAGAAATGGTTTTTAGTCAGGGGCTCCAAGGAAAAGGGCTAGAAGCCTTTTGCAACCTTTTCCCATGCTTGCATAGTTTTTGGTGGTAAAATGAAAGCTTTACTAGGCTGTGGTTTGTATTAACTGCATTATTATGGCTTGTCCCCAACATAAATGTGTTTGTTGGCAAAACCTAGCCAATGGCTTTTTAAAATGAAAATTTCTAGTTCCACTTTGACGTTGTTGCCAGACATCCAAACGATGGCTGTAGCTACAAGAAGATTCATCTCCTTTTACTCAAATCCTTAGAAAGTCATTCTCTGAAGGGGATATGTTAATATAACCCATTTGTTCTATATTACCATAGTTTCACATGTTTTATGATATTTAATTTATAAAACAGGGTACAGAATGAATGTTTCATCTTGGCCCATGTTCTTACTACGGACACTAACTGGATCTGAACTGGCCCCTGCGGTGTTCTTTAAGAAGGTAAGAAAAGCATTAGAAGAAATCCTGTCCTCTAGACCATGATTTTTCTTTTTAATAGGAATGCTCAATACTTTGTCTTTTCCAACATGGAAAAAGGTTTTTTTTTTTTTAATTGCAGGTTGGCAAATACTGAGTTAGTTTGTTATGGCCACTGTAACAAAGTGGTAGTGTGCCTTACAAAATGTTTTTTCCACAATTTGGAGGCTAGAAGAACAAGAACTAGGGTACCTTGAAGGCTGGTTTATAGGTGACCACATTCTTGTGTCCTTTTAGGGCCTCTTCTCTGTGTGCACACACCCCATGGGTCTCTTCCTCTTGTTATTACACCATACCAGTCAAACTGGATTAAGGCTCTGTTTTCAAATGTATTCATATTGGTAGTACTTGAACAGAAATTTAGGGTAGAAGAGACACTATTCAGTTCATAATAGCAGCTGTAGTTGCTATGAATTCATTAGTCTAATAATCCTGTCACACCCAGAAAGATTGTTTTTGCTCTGATTCTCCCTGACCTCTGGCTCTTAGAATCTTTCAGCCTTTCTTTTGCACAATGACTTGCTCCTGAGTCTTGTGGTAGTGGGATGGTAGGATATGGATATCCTGTTCATAGCTGAGAACATTTATCCTCTGCACAATGACCAGTTGATTAACAGTTTCCTTTGTAGTAGAGAGACTTTTTAATTCCATAAAGTCAAAATTATTGATTGTTGTATTTACTCCTGGGTGACTGGAATCCTAATCAGAAAGTCCTTACCTCAGCCAATATATTCCCTACTATTTCTTCTAGAAGTTTTGGAATTTCAGATATATCATTGATTTTGATTCATTTGGCATTGATTTGTGTGCAGGTTGAGAGAGAAGGATCAAATTTCATTTTTCTATATGTATATAGCTAGATTTCTCAATACAATTTGTTTAAATAGCTGTCTTTTCTCTAGTGTATGTTTTGGCATCTTTGTCAGAAATCAGGTATTTCTAGGTATATGTAGTCATGCCTGGGTCTTCAGTGGTCTTCCATTGATCACAGTGTCTGTTTTTGTCCTGGTACCATGCTGGTTTTACTACTATGGATCTATAGTGTAACTTGAAATTGGGAATAGTGATATCCCCACCAGTGGTGTTTTGTTTGTTTGTTTTTATTCTTCAGAATTGTTTTGGCTATCTAGTGTATTACTTTGGGCTTCCATATGAATTTTAAGATTGAATTTTCAGTTTCTGTAAAATGTTTTTGGAATATTGGTAGAGATTGCATTGAATCTGTAGATTGTTTTTGGTAGAATAACCATTTTCATAATATTAATACCACCATTCCATGTGCATAGGAGATCTCCCCTTATTGTGTCACCTTCATTTTTTTTTCCTCTGGTGTTTTAAAATTTTCACTGTAGATGGTTAGATTTATTTAAACATCAGTTCTGGAGATTAGAAGTCTGACATGAAGGTGCAGACAGTACTTCTTCTAATGCTTCCTACATTTTCCCTGCATGGTCTTTCTGTGTCATCATGCTTGTCAATAGTCTTACTGTTTTGTGACTGACTTCAGAGCCCTTCCTATTTTTATCTCTTCAGAATAAAATCAATCCTTTGATATTCTGACTCTTCTTTCCTGGAGTCAGAGGAGAAACCTTTTAAAGTAATATTTCCCTAAAAGCAATATTTAATATTTTTGTTTGTCAGTGAATCCTAAATTTCTGCCACATGACAGAACATACTTTTTGTATTAGTGCATGGATCAGGCTAATTTTGTTTCCTTCTAGATCCTTGGCACTGCAAGAAAAGAGTAAAATATTCAAGAATAGTTTGTGATTTTTAAGAATATCTTTCTTCCTGATAAATATGAAGTATAATTTTGTTACTAAGGATTATAAAAGAACACACTGAAAAGATAGTTCCTAATGTATTTAAGTTGTGAAAAATTAAAAATGTTTTTATAGGAACCACCATCACCACCCCTAAATAATTTTAAAGTGGGGATGAAGATTGAAGCTGTTGATAGAAAAAATCCATTTCTGATCTGTCCTGCCACAATTGGAGGTGTCAAAGGAGATCAAATTCATATTACTTTTGATGGATGGAGTGGAACATTTGATTATTGGTGCAAATATGACTCCCGGGACATCTTCCCAGTTGGATGGTGTTGCCTCACAGGGGATGTATTGCAGCCACCAGGAAGTAGTGGTAAGCTAATATCTAATTATTATTATTATCTGTGTTCTGTTATTTTAGATCTTATTTTGGTGACATTGTGTTAGTAGTGGTGATAACAGGACTTGATGCCAAATTAGAATTGCAGATAGGCCAGTAAAATTCTCTAGTCTAGGTACTAGAGTTGATGGAAGTTTCAAATTAGGATAATTAGAATTCTTTTTTAAACAATTTTTTATTTGTATTTTATGTACATTGGTGTTTTGCCTGCACGTATGTCTGTGCAAGGCTGTTGAATTCACAAGACCATGAGTTACAGACAGTTGTGAGCTGCCATGTGGGTGCTGGGAATTGAACCCAGGTCCTCTCAAATAGCAGGCAGTGCTCTTAACCACTGAGCCATCTCTCCAGCCTAGGATAATTAGAATTTTTGAGAGCACCCCAGACATCTTATGTTCCAGTTCATGCTAAGAATATCAGCAAATCCAAAAGTTATATTTAGAATGTTGGTACTATGTGTATAGCAGATACTTATATTTAAAATTACATTTGTAATTACTATTCAATTAAAACATATGCGTGAGTTCTGGGGATATAGCTCATTGTAGACTGAGTGCATAGCATGCACAGGGCCCCGAATTCTATTCTCACTACCTTTTAAAAGTAATTTGCACATGGTATTTCATAAGCCACTTTTCAATCTTAATTTTTAAAGTTGGACATAATAAGTATCAAAATATATTTTATATGGCTCTGTTTATATTTTAAAGACAAACTTTGATATTCTCAAGTAAAATCTATATGCAAGTAAAATTTTGATTCTGTGGAAGTGCCATAGATTTCTGTTCAGCCATTATAGTATTCATCATTTGTAATTGTGTTTCTAGATCGAATACTATGGTCATGTACATACCTTCTTTCAGAGAAATGTCTCCAAAATATCAAAGTTCCTTGGAAACTCATCCAAGGGCTTAAGCACGCCTGATGTAGTCTTTAAAGTAACCACTGCTGAGACATGTTGGCCTTGAGTTTAATATAAATTTACTGGTGGAATCAAATGTAAACATAATTAAAATTTACCTCAATAAATGTTATCTGTATCATCAAAAAGAAAGTAGGTAAGGAATATAGAGGAGGTTGGGGGATGGAAGAAAGAGCTTATAGGTATGTTATTCTTGTAACTGACTGCTATTGAAGTCTTCTGTGATTTGACACATCCCATTATAGTACAGTGTATATACCAGTTTCTTGCTGCTGTTATATCTAGCAAGTAGATGTTAGTGGTTAATTTTGGTAAATATTTCTGTTACACAGATAAGGTAGCAAGGGCATAGTACCTGCCCTCATGAAATTTATCTTCAAGTGAATAGAAATGTACTGAATTTTCTGTTGAAAATTAGAAAAAATAGAAATGTATGGTAAATATGGAAGTAGCTCAAACTCTACAGAGAATGGTGATTGAGTAACGAAAAGCCTCAGAGAAAATATATGACTACTGAGATAGAGGTAATTTGCTATGCAGAATGAAACTATAGGTAGGGTAGACATATCACAGATATAAATTTTGAATTTACTCTGAAAATGAATGAATTTTGGTTAAGACATGTGAGTTTGGAATGTGTAAATAAGAATGTTATTATCCTCAAGTACCGTCTTTTTTCTTCTACACTGAGTTACATCCCCAGCCCCATGGTGGTGGTTCTGGTTATTTTTTGTGGTGATAGAAATCATACCCGGGGCCTCTTTATATGAATTACATCCATAGTCCCTTTTGGCCTTTTTCTTTATGTAATAAAAATAATTATTTGTACATCACTTTGTACTTTAACTTTCAGTTTGAAAGAGATTATCTTGAATATTCTATTTCCTGCTTATTTTTCATACTATATTGTGGCTATGTAGATCATCCCTGACTTAGGATGGCTGCATTACAAGTTTTTTGTTATAATTTTTTATTTTTATTTTTTATAATCTTCTTTATTTAAATTAGTAACAAGCTTGCTTCACATATCAATCCCAGCTCCCTCTCACTCCCCTCCTCCCCTACACTACAAGTTTTGCCAGTAAAATTCAATGAAAGTAATAAACATTAAGAGGAAACCATACTTTGAATAGTACATTTTAATAATTTTCTGGTCTAGAAATATGTGATCAAATATTTTATCATGCTTGGCACTGGTAGTGAACAAAGGAAAATGCTCTGGTGTTGGTAGTAGATATTATACTTTTGGATACTGTTTATGTTTTCACAACTGATTATGTTTGAAAGATACCCATATGTATCTTATATCCATATGCTTTCTGATTTTGACTTTGAGCATAGTTTTCAATAAATTAATAAGATACCCAATATTTTATTTTAAAGTAGGATTTTTGTTAAAGTTAAATGATTTTACCCAACTATAAGCTAATATAAATGTTATGAGCATGTTTTAAGATAAATTAGGTTTAAGTTTAAACTGTGATGCTCAGCAGACAAAGTGTATCAAATGCATTTCAACTATCAAAATGCAAACCCATCATAACTTAAACAACATATACATACCTGTGTAAAATATATCCATACTTAATTCTACATGCATTCTATCATATAACTATAATTAATTGATTTAACTAAAATTCTATTTTGTCAGATACTGAAATACTTTCATATTTATGTTATTAGACAGGGTGCTATAAGTACTTTATAAACATATACTTGCATTGCTCCATATTTCATACAATAAGTTTGCTGAAGTACACAATGTGCTTTTAAGCTAACAAATTGTCTTTCAGGAAGTCATACTTATATTTACTGCCCTCAGAATTAGGTAAAATATTTTTCTCTCTCCTGCCCAACTTTAGGAAAGATCTTTCTATTTTCATTATTTTTACATTTTATTCCATAATTTGCTAATAAGTTTAAAACTTTTTCTTTCCATATGTTTTGTCTATTAATATTCCTTTATAATTTGTCTACTAATCACCTTGCTCATTTTTCATCTTTGAATACTACTATTTTTTTTACTAGTTTTATTGTTTCGTTTATTGCATAGCTCAAACCCATGTCCCCCAATTAAAAATATTTTCCTCAGTCATTTGATTTTTAGCACTATAGTCTTTTTGTCAACTAATAGAAGTCTTTGTTGACTTAAATAGTAAATAATAAGGGCCTTTTAACTAATTTCTAAAGGCATAAATGACATTAAGCTAATCATATTTCATAAATTAAAATTTTATATTGATTTTGAGTATTTCTTAAATGTGATAGAAATGTTTTTCAACTTAAAAAGAAATGCTTTTTAATACACTTAAAAGCTTTTGAAGAAATAATCACTAAAAGCAATATAGTTGCAGTTTTTATAAAAGTACAGTGAGGTATGAATGCTACTTGATTAGGAAAATAAATTTTCATTTGCTTTACAACTTCTTCCATTTTTTCACAAACACTTCTATGACCAGAAATAATGATGTTTTTAATTGGGCTTCACAGGGGTAGAGAAATCTGTGCTTTTTAAATTTATTCTCATTTTCTTTTCAAAGCTCTTGTTATGACCCTGTGCTCTTTGTGATGTGATGTCACAACTGATCAAATTTCTTTTCAAGATGACTGTCAATACAGTGAAAAAGGAGCAGAGCTGCATATGTGTTGCTATGTCCTTAGCAACTTGGAGGAGAGGGTTCCATAAGTGAAAACAGAGCTTATTGCAGATTTTCTTTTAATACCTTATTTGATATTGCTGCTTTCTTTTCCAGTTTTTCCCACTCCCATATCTTCTTTGTAAATCTCATTCCCTTTAGATTATTTATATACTGATAGAAATTTAATGATTCCATATAAACTACTATTTATTTTCCTCATATTGCCCTTCCCATATCTCCAGAATGTTGTAGGAGTTTAACCAGTCATTACAAATATATAATGCAGGAAGGAACAAACAGGATATTCCAGGAATTTAGCATCATAACTGTAGTGACCACTTTTTTAATGTGTGAAGATATTTTCTTTCTTTTTTGCATGAAGATGTACATTTGTCATTTGAGACATTCAGAAGAATAAGTTTCTGTTGTAAAAAGGGCCTCCAGGGGCTGGAGAAATGGCTCAGTGGCGAAGAAAGCTGGCTGCACTTACAGAGGACTTGGGTTTTTTTTTTTTTCTTTTTTTAAATTTGAATTAGAATCAAGATTGTTTTACACTTCAATCTCAGTTCCCTCTCCATCCCCTCCTCCCCTGCCATCCCCCCCAACTAAAACCCTACCTATCCCATACCCTTTCTGCTCCCCAGGGAGGGTGAGGCTTTCCATAGGGGGTCTTAAGTATATACTCACTCATATATGGACTTTAGACATAGAGCAAAGGATTACCATCCCACAATCCACACTGCCAGAGAAGCTAGGAAACAAGGAGGACTCTAAAAGAGACATACATGGTCCCCCAGAGAAGGGCAAAGGGACAAGATCTCCTGAGCAAATTGGGAGCATGGGGGAAGGGGAGAGGGAGCTAGGAGAAAGAGAAGGGGAGAAGAGGAGGTGTGAGGAGGACATGAGGGAGCAGGAAGGTTGAATTGGGGGTACAATAGAGGAGAACAAGATAAGAGATACCATAGTAGAGGGAGACATTATAGGTTTATAGAGAAATCAGGAACTAGGGAAATGTCTGGAGATCGACAAAGATGACACCAACTAACAATCTAAGCAACAGAGGAGAGGCTACCTTAAATGCCCTCCCCTGATAATGAGATTGATGACTGACTTATATGCCATCTTAGAGCCTACATCTAGTAGCTGGGGGAAGCAGAAGCAGACACCCACAGCTAAACACTGAACTGAACTGGAATCCAGTTGCAGAGGAGGAGGAGTGATGAGTACCTATGTATGAGCTCACAGTCTTCTGAATCTGCAATCCCAGGGTACCAGACAGCTTCTTAGGTCTTCTGAGGGCACCATTCATGGCACAAATATTATGCATAGACATATATGCAGGCAAAACATACACATAAAATTAATTAATTAATTAACAAAATTTGCCCCAGTAATTTTCCTAAGATTATATT